TGAGACAAGACTCCTGTTCAGACGTTCACTATATACGTACGCAGGCCCGGAAGAGATTGTTAGATAGATAGATAGATAGATAGATAGATAGATAGTTTAATAAAACATTTACATTGCAGCCAAAGGCTGAATTACGTAAAGTTTACAAAATGCGAATTATTATTTAATTACTATTATAATTATTAAGTTAAAATTATGCAAATATTTAAAATTTTACTAGGATGATAATAAAAAAGATACCACTAACGTTACGAAGACATCTTCGATGCCATCGCAAATATAAAAGAGTTTTTAGTACGATTAGTATTAAAATGAGGAATGTCAAATTCATGACCATTTCTGAGATCGTGGTGCCAGTTATGTTTCTGTGGGAGGAGGTCATAAAGTTTGTGGTTTGGATCCTTTGTAACATTATCAAACAAGTTTTTGCATAAGAAATTATGGTGTTCTTCTATTGGTTTGATGTTCAAAATTTCTCCTGTTGCAGAGTAGTCCATTCCTGGATTTATTATTGAAATAGCCCTTTTTTCCAGTCGAATCAATTCGTTCTTTAAGTATTGTGGAAGGGAGTGATAAAAGGCTGGTACTGCGTAATCCATGACAGATCTAACGCAAGACGTATAGAATAACACAAGATCTTTAACTGGTAACCTAGCTCTTTTTAATTGAACCAGGTAATATAGTCTTTTACTGGCTTTTTTGACGACCTCTTTTATATGGGCATGCCAAGTTAGATTGTTACTTATTGTTACTCCCAATAATTTAGCAATTTGTGGTATCATCCACGAACTTCCACATGTATGGGGAATTAATATTCAGGTCTTGGATCATTAAAATAAATAACCATGGACCTAGCTTTGTACCTTGCGGTACACCAGACGGAACAAGGCCCCACTCAGAAAAACAGCTATCGGCCAATTTTACTCTCTTCGTTCTATGAGAAAGAAAATCTATTATCCAGTTAATTATACTTCTAGGTATGTTCAAATTACCCAGTTTCTTTACAAGAATTGTATGGTCGATAAAATCGAATGCCTTGCGATAATCAAACAATATTGTCCTTATTGTTGCCCCATTCCAGTCAGTGTTTATAAACCAGTGATGCATCATACTAATTAACGCCATAGTGGTTGACGAGTTTGGAATCGCTCCATATTGACTAGCATCGATTATGTCTAGAATTGCCGGTTTAACAAAATCCTCAACAATAAATTCCTCTGCCACTTTAGAGATGCAGGGGGTCAGGAAAATAGGCCTGAGATCTTTTTCCAATATAGTCACTGTTTTTTTTTTGGTAACGCCGAAACATTTGCTTTCTTCCAGATGGTAGGCAACTGCTGTTCGTAATAGGAAGCATTGATAATTTTCATGACAGGAAGGGCCAAAAAGATAAAAAATTCAGAGCTTTTGATATTCTGTATTCGGCCAAGGGTGCAAGAAAGGCAGTATTAATGGTGTTAGCTTCTTCATGTGGAGGGAGGTTCGTAAATCCTTCAACATTGATTTGATGGGATAAATTTGTGCCTGCCGACTTTATTCCACTTAACCGCTTCACCTTATTCCACCACTTCCTTGGGGCTTCTCCTTTAAGTTGTTTAATATTGGATTCGTAGTATCTTGCCCTGCAGACTTCTGTTGACACAATTTCGGTAATATTTAAATCGGGGGGAATGTACATCATCCGCATTGAAAGCTTTTTTGTCTATTAAAGATTAGGGATTTAAGCTTCTGGTTCATCCATGGAGCGTCAGCTGGATGGATACGAATTTGTTTTTCTGGCATTATGGTGTCAAGTCCAGAATGAACTACTTCATGGACGACTGTGCGCACATCTTCGCAACAATACAAGGGACTGAGAATTAAGGTCCAATCAATTGAACTTAAGTATCTTTCCTTTTCTAATTTACGACTTTTCCGCTGGTCACGTATTGTTATCGATTTTTTAGTATTATTCTTCTGCGCTGCAATTTTCCCTGTAGCGACAATTGTATTATGATCGGACTGTCCAAATCCTAGATAACCTTGAGGTGGGTTGTAAAAGTTGTGCATATTAGTTAAATGAGATCTAGCGTAGCATCGTTCCGAGTAGGTATCATTACAATTTGCTTGAGACGAAAGTGATTTAGCAACAGGGTAACATTAAGACGATTAAAATCGCCAGTTATGATGATTCCGCAGTTTGGATATTTTGATTCTACCAAAGTGAGTGTTCGGAAAAGATGATCCTGAAATAATTTTCCATTTGCCCCAGGTGGGTGATATATTACCGCTATAATTATGCATGTAATTCCACGAGGGAGACGGTCTGGCCTCAAGTAAATCCAATGTGTTTCTCTAATGTAGGCACACACCCCTCCATGATTCTGCGATGTTCTATCCCTACGCAATAAGGTGAAATTTGGAATATCAATGACAATGTCGGACACGGATTCTTTCAACCAGGTTTCTGTTATGAGGGCGAGATTAATTTCATTACGAACAATAAATTCATTAACCACATCGATTTTTGGTACTAGAGACATGACATTTGTTAACATTAAATTCGGTACTTTATGAATTCTTTGAATGGAACAGTTTAATAATAATACCGGTACCAATTCGCTTGGTCTTTCGTGTTCGATGTTATACGAAAACCCTGCGCTCCAATTTTATCACATTCTTTAGCTTTGGCGGTGCTTCCCGATTTCGTTCTTCCTTGGCCAATATCTATTGCGTTGACTATTAAGATAATTTCTATTTGCATTTAATTTTCGGGAGTTTGATTGATGTTTGCTATCAGTTATACGAGTTGAAATATATTGATAGCTACTTGACCCTAGCGGTGGACATGAATTCTGCTCTATTTGGCTTCGATCATCATGATGTACTTCTTTTGTATGAAGAACTGATGTACTTCTTTTGTATTCCCGTTGTTATTATTAACATCGGAAATTTCATGGGAGGATGAGCAACTATTTAAATTTGGTTGCTGGACACTAATAAGACTTGGTTTGTCTTTAGAATTAGGCAAAAGTTTCTGGGATAAACTGTTTTGTCGATTCTGATCAGACTGATTATTGTTATGCCTGAGATATTCGGCTGGAACTTCGCGCGATTGACATATCGTTTCGGTCCATGCATGATCATTAGTGGTTTCTTTTTTGGCAAAGTAATTTGGCAATCGGAAGGGAGAGTGTTCGATATTGTTTGATGTTTTTATGTATACATAAAAAATCATTTTTTTTGTATGTCATAGCATAATTATTCACATGTTCGCTTGTTTTGTTCATATCGTAATTGTTTTGTATATACTTTGTTGATTGTTCGCTAATTGATTTTCTCAACGATGCATTTAACGCTTCGATCGATTCAACTTTATTTTCAAGTGACACAATAATGTTATTTAGTTCGTTAATCTCCCTATCTCTTCCCCTCACTAATATTGATATGTCAGATTCGAGCAACTCACATCGTTCCCTTTCCTTAGCATAAATGTGTCTCAGTTGGGTCACCTCATCATCATGAGTTTCCTGCGCTGAAGTTATCCTAGTATCGACATTTTTTTCAAGATAACTAG